ATTGATGATGTGAGAGTGATTGCCGTTTGACCAAGTAGGACTATTCGCGGGCTTTTACAGTCAATAGGGAACCTCTCTATTCAAAGAGTTGAATTTACTTGTTTTGTTGTTGTTTTACGAGTGAGCTGTCTGCTGCAATTTTTGTAGTGTAACTTTGCATTGTAAACCTAAACAGTTTTGTACGTGCTACTGGACTTCAGTTCCAACAAAAAGGCAGATGTAATGATAGCACTTAACGCATTTCGTAACCTCAAATCGGAAAGTCATCTGAATATTTACAGAGATTTACGTGCAGACCAAAAAATAATGTTAAATGTGTATTCAGTAACATTTTAAATATTGTCCCAAATAATAGAAAACGATGTTCGTACTTTGTGTACATAGTTCCTAGACGACGAACTTCGGCCTCGTTTTGATATTTTTAGTACTGGCCTGAAAAAGATAAATTTGTGTTATGCTATATTTGATTAGAAATTTATTAATATAATTAATAAATCCGGGGAGAATAATTATGTTTAAAATTACTCTTGCATTTATAAGAGGAATACATCGGTTATAAAGTTATAGTACATATAGTGTATATAACATTATTGTAAATGTCATTTGTATTATTCGATGGGCAATTAGCCATTACACCCTCCCAATTCACAGATGATAACGGACAATTTAGTTTGACATTTAGCTCAGATGTGTCACGGATTAGTGGATAATAATAATCAATTCTGTCATTTGCTTTGCCAAAAATTTGAAGGTGGACACTCATATCAGTAATTAGTATACCACGATTAATATTATTCATAAAAAAATGTTATTATTGTAACTGTTCTTCTGGTGACTCAATAAATCAACAAAATCTTTGGTTGGGTGATTTCTATCAGTTTTCAGCAAATCAATATAGATCGATTGATTGACTGTTTTATAAAATTGGTTATTTAAATAGTGGTGGGCGTCAAACAAGTGTAAAAATAATAAGTATTTTAAACCAATTGTTAACATCGCCT